CCCGAATGCCCCTCCTCCGGCCCTGAACATGGAGATCTATCCAATATGGGGACCTTAATATTAGAATCGGGTATCGGGGTATTATACCGTTACCATAAAAGTGTATTGGTAATTGCCGATTACCGGCCCCTAACCGCTATTAATGGTAATTGCCTGGCCCCTGCGCTACCTGAACCCAAACCCCTAAAGCCAAACCCCCAAATGCTGCTGGTCTTGGGTGGGCTTAGGGTCTTGGGGTCTTCTGGTTGACTAGGTGTCGAGTTCAACAGTCCCCAAAACTATTTATAATTAAAGCCCTATAATAAGTAATTATCAGGCAAACTAACAAGTTACCCCAAATCGATACCTGGGAACCCTTATAGGGTTTAGGGTCCGTTATAGGTCCCTTACAGGAGCCATTTAAGGAACTCGGGGGGGGCTTGGTCTAGGGCTCACCGGGCTTCAGCATTTCAGATGCTTCCGCGGTGGCGCAGATTTAGGATTTGGGGTTTAGGGTTTAGGGGTTTAGAATTTAGGGTTTAGTCTATCTCTTTTAAAGGGCTCCTTTCGATCTGCATAAAGCGTCTCAAAAGCTGGGTTTAGGGTTCAGGATCCCTAAACCCTAAACCCTACACCCTAAACCCTAAACCCTAAACCCTAAACCCTACACCCTAAACCCGACACCCTAAACCCTAAACCCTAAACCGTTTTAGGGTTAACTGAACCGCAAAGTCGCCCTTAAACAGTGAACTTCGAAGGCCCTCATGCTGCAAAAAACGCCACAGGATCTGCCTACATTGACGGTTTAGGGGTTTAGGGGTTTAGGGTTTAGGGTTTAGGGTTTAGGGGTTAGGGGTTTAGGGTTTAGGGTTTAGGGTTTAGGGGTTTAGGGTTTAAGGTTTAGGGGTTTAGGGGTTTAAGGTTTAGAGTTTAGGGTTTAGGGTTTAGGGTTTAGGGTTACATGGCCTATATCCTCTTCCTGAATCTTGGCTGACTGCTGAACCCCTCCTGAACATTAAACTTTTAGCCTCCTGATTATCGTTCATATAGAAGCCCGAACAGTTAAAGTCCTAAGAGCCAACCAGAAGAACGCCAAGGAATAAGCCTCTGAGACCATGAAATCCCGAAGCAGGCCTGTCAAGTCGGAACTTCGCTCCAGTGACAAGTTCCACCATATCCAGGAACTGTGCAAAGATATGCTCTTGATGGAGTTCGGTGGGACCCTAGGCCCTCAACCCCTACATGGCCTGGGGCAGGGGATGGACCTGAATCAATTTTCCTTCCTAGGGCACATGGGTCTTCGCAAAAAGGGCGTCTTCTCCCAAATGGAAACGCAAGGGCTGAAAATGGACCAGAAGATGGGTCCTTTGGGTCCTTGGGAAAATTTGGGCTCATGGCGCCATGCCTGCCTAGTCGAGTTCCCTTGCTCGCCACCCTCGGAACTGGAGCCTCCCCAGGTTTCAGCACCCTCAATCTTGCGAAAAGCCCGATTTCTGGGCGGGGGTGTTCTGAGATCTACAAAGCGTCTGCCATGCCCAATATCATTCTAAGGGCTCTACCGGGTGCCGCAGCACTCATGTCACAGGGGATATCACGAAGCATCAGATTAATTCCAAAAGGGTTCTCGTCGAGGATGGTACCCGACGTCTTCAAAGGATCGCACCCGAGTCTGCTGCAACCTGCAACCCTTGTGAAAACCCTGTCATAGGATTAGTAATAGAAAGCCTCGAAGCTCCATTCAATATAACTGCTTCCGTTGCCTTCGTAAACCTCTCAGACTGGAAGATTAGCCTTCAAAAGCTCCAAGTCATACCTCGACCCTTAGAAACCTACCTTTTTAGGGTTCCGTCATGCAGTTTCCGTATATCACGCGTTAAGAAGGTAGGTTATTTGGGGTTAGGGGTAGTTCTAAACCCCAAACACTAAACCCTAAACCCTAAGTCTTGGATCAGAAATTTTTCGGTTGCATGGTCACATTCAGCCGTAAACCGCCTCAGACCTACCTAATTATGGGCCCAAAGGGTCCAAAGTACCTTTTATAGTAGAATGTAGTGTTTCTATATTAGGAATTACTATTTTGATTTGGGAAAGTATCCCCCAAAACAGTACCTCTGGGACCCTTTGGGATTGCTTTCGGATCTCCGGGCCCGCGGTTGAGGTTTAGGGCTCGAAATCGGGTTTTTAGGGTTTAGGGTTTCCGGCTTAAGGGTTTTAGGGCTTTTAGGGTTAAGGGTTTCGGGTTTTCAGGGTTAAGGGTTTAGAGTATACCAAATCCCAGAACCCTTCGAAATCACAGATCCGCTGGGAGATGGTAGTGGAGCCGCCGCAGGGAACCCGAACTCAGCCATTTGGGAGTTTCCGAAAATTGGGGTTCCTTTGACGATTACTTGAAGGGATCTATAAGGGTTCTATAAAGGGTTTAGGGTTTAGAGTCTAGGGTTTCCGAAAATTGAGGTACCTTATTTTGGGGTCTTCATACTCAGGATCCTACTATTTAGCGTACTATACTAGGGTCCCCTATTTCCGGAAACTTTTAGATGGCCTCTGCAAAGAAATGCAGGACTTGGAAACGTCAAGCGTCAAACATGTATGTCCTGAAGTAGCAACCGTATAAGTTTCCATCCCTAGAGACGCTAGACTTTAGATCCAGAACCTGCCCTAAACCCTCATGTGGAAGATCACACTGTTCTGCGACCATGGCGCGCACATGCACCCTCGTTGCGGATCAGCGCTACATTCAAGTCTGTATGTATGGCCTAAACACATACTACTTCGTGTCAAGAAGCCTAGAAAGCAAAATTCGCCTAAACCCTATAAGTCGTAAACACGAAAGTCCATAAACCCTATACAGTAGAAGCCAGAAAGTTGGAATATCATTATCGTAACCCCTTTAAGGTAAATTATAGGGGATCCTACCATTATTCCATATTCCAACTTTCTGGGGTTTCCTTTAAATACAAAAGCTCTTAGACCGTAGCAGCCCTTCACCCGCACCCTGAAGCGGTACCGCGAGGAGCTCCGGAAACGTACTCCTTTTGAGGACATGTAAAAAAAAGGGGCCTGAATAGTTTAGAATAAGGTTTTGGGGCAGGCTATACTGTAATCAGAATAAGGCACCCCCCACAACAATATTGGTAATTATCTAATTAGGCCGCTATATTATGTACCTTAAACTACCAGAACCTACCTTTGTTTGGGCTTAGGGGAAAAAGCTTTTGGTCGTTCCGGGTACGTCTGTGTGTTTTGCGCCTGGGCGAATTCAAGAGTCTGGGATTTCTCGTGCTAGCTGTGATGGGCGCTAGGCCCTACCCAAAGGCTCCATAGTAGTTCCCTTTTGTGAGTACCTTATAGGATCCTAAATATGAACCCCAAAAAGGAACTACTATGCAGCCTCTGGGTAAATCACACAAACCCTTGTAATTTCCAATTCTGGTCAAACCTTGAATCTTACTTGAAGCAAAAGCAGCAGAACAAAACGCAACCCTAACTCCTATAGTTCAACTCTTGACCCTACCTGTCTCCCCGAACCCTACACAATAGTAGGTCATGACCCCTGGATTAAAGGGCGTAACCCATAAAACGGTTGTTGGATCCCCAGGTAATCCTTGGCTCCGGATAATTGGCACGGCGCGGTCAAGTCTGCGAGTTTTTGATGGTTGGAGGATGCACGCGACTGGCCGCCTAGCCAAGAAGCTAAGATTTCTGCAGTCCGTGGTTCCCGCAAGGGTCCAAGTTCCGAAACATCGATTGCAACAGCCCCGAAATTACTTGTACTTAGGGTCCTATATTGAACCAATTTGGAGGCGTAAGCTATACCTCGCATCGGTACATCGTGGACTTCGCAAAATGCGAAGATTCAGTCACTAATGTAATATGTGAACCCTGAACCCTAAACCCTACTTCGGACCCTCACAACGGTCGAGAGCTAGGCCCCGCAGCTTCCTGGCTCCGTTTGGAAAATGCCATGAAAGCTTTGCATAGCCGACCACGGCGAAGTGACATGGGAACGCTGTGGCCATTCTGGACACCCCCTCCACACTCTCCACATGCACAGTGATTTCCAAACCGATGCGCTCCAAACTGTAAACCTTAACCTAAACATCTCATAATCCCAGAGGGTCCACATACACTACCATTATGGAGTTAGGAACTAAACCCCATCCCCATTATGGTTTTGGTGGCGTGGTTCCATTGTGGTATTGTATATAGACCCTCTAGGTTGTACTTAAGATCAATCGATGACATGAGGCAACCGACGTTTGCGAGTGTGTGGGGCTACTGCACGGCAGAAAAGTGCCCTTTTCATGGCTGTGACACAACACCTGTATTCGGAACTAGCGTTGGAATCATGCTCTTCTCGAACGACCTCTCGGGTCGGGAATGAGCATAGACCACCTTTCAGTGGTTACGCGGTCGACTGTTGCGAAAGGCACGCTGAGGGCCGTCAGCCCCGGGGCCAGATGCAGCACATCACGTAAATGATGCATTCAACAGTCTCCTACCCTGAGCCCCTGAGCCTTTACCAAAAAGCGGTTTAGGGGTTTAGGGATAGGATTACAGAGTTTAGATTCTACCCTGGGGCTCCAAACCGCCCAAAGTAGCTACTATTTATAGACTATCGACCCCGAAGTAGGTACTCTTTGTATACTTGGTGGGAGCTTTAGGGCTAGCATTCCCTGCCAAATGTCCCATGTAGACTCGGGAGAATAACATGCAACACGCCGCAAGTGGAGCACCGAAGACTGTATGGAGTTGCTGCACCGGCCGGAGTGGAAACAACCTTTGCCCTTTTCAGAGCTGCGACACAAGAGATCTATATATTCAAAACTGCGAAGGCGTTTGGCTGGAATCCCGTCTCGAACGACCTGTCGGGATACGAAAAAGCCCCGACGATCACGCAATATAGGGGCCTGAGTAGTTAGCATCAAGGTTTTGGGGCCCATTATACTGTAACTATAATGAGCCCAGTCTGCTACAATACTTTAGGCCCCTATACTAGTCGTCCCGAAAACCGCCTGCAGTCAACTGCGGCGTAGGGCACACTGAGGGACCTTCAGCCCACCGGTGGTTAGCCAAGCGAGCATGCCGGATACAGCACACCATGCAAGTGCTGCTGCAACATTCTCCTTGTATGCCCAACGTCCTACGTAGACTCCGGAGAAGATGAATGTGATGCAGAGCAAGTAAAGCACCAAAGACCTTAGTTGCCGAATTCATCCATTTTCACAACTATTCCGGATCTTGTCGCCAGGTGAGTCATATCACGACCACGAATACCAGGTGTCGACATGTAGCTGTACTATACATACTAGTTCATGGTTGGGGATAGTACTTAGTGGGTTTGAGTACCCATAAAAATGTAAAAATGTTACCCAACTATGACAAAAAATACACCACCCTAAACCCTAAACCCTAAAACCCTAAGCCTGCACCAAGCAGCACTTAAAAACAGCAGAAACCTCGAAGCCTCAAATCCCCAGACGTCGACCCTCTGACAGAAGAAGAAGAAAAACCCGAAGCCCTGCTCCGATACCCTTGTTTAGGGTCTAGGGTCTAGGGTTTAGGGGTTTAGGGTCTACCAGAGCCACGGTTTAGGGTTTAGGATTTGGGGACCAAGAGACTGTGCCAGTCCCCATAGGCTGCTTTTTGGCATGGGGAATCGGCCAGCCAGAAGCATAGCAAACCTTGCTGTTTGCCCGAGTTGAGTGTCTCTGCCGAAGTATATACTTGTCTCTGCCTGTGCGTGTTCTTTGTGTTGCCTTGTTGCTTTTATTCGTGTGTGCGTGTGTGTGTGTGTGTGTGTGTGCGCAAGCAGCCCATCCAAACCAGTTTTGTACCAACGAAGACACTGGATGTTTCCGGCGATATTTTGTAGGATGCAGACGCATTCACCAGCTGAAGGATTGGTTGTGGAATCATGAATAGTGAAAGCTGTGCATTGAAGATCTTGAGCTCCTTTGAGACCAGCCGACATGCATCATGTCCAGGCGAGATGAAACAAGTCGAGAAATGACAGGAAGTTGACAACATTTGAAAGACGTTGAGGGGTTTAGGGTTTAGGGTTGAAGTGACTTGCCAGCCGCTTCGGCTATCTCCGAAGTCGATTCGATGTGTGGGGCTCCCGTTCCATCTAAAAGGTTTCGTGGCCAGAAGGACGAGCACAACGATTACAACAGGATACTCTCCTGCAACGATCCGTTCCGAAGTTTGGCGGTTTGAATTGCAAAACATTATGAGGTTGTTCAGACCCTATCGCTTGGACATTTCTTGTCGAGGGCGAACCAAGATCTGATTGGCTTCTTCTCTTGCCTTCCAGCTTAGCACATAAATCTGTCAGCAATGGTGCTGGTTATTTCCCACATAAGAAGATCTGCACTCATCGCAGCTTCCATTGTTACGCATCATCAGACGCACAAAACGAGGACTCCAAGGTCGTGCGATTCGCATATGGCTTCGTGAAAACCTTCCTCTTGAAACATCGGCGTGCGGACAAATGCATGAAGCTCTTCAACAAGTGCGCCATGGGCAACCCAAAATCGTCAATCCTGCAGAGATCCCAACGAGCCAATTGAAACAACAGTGCATGAGCGAACACTTACAACAACTGCTGCCGTAATAAGGACAAACTGTTCGTCTGCCTTCAACATATCTGCTGAAGCATTGCTTGCGAGATCATGAACAATGCAAGCGGTGCATCGAATATCTTGAGCAATCAATAACCCAAAGGGTGCAAAGTACCTTTATAGTATAGTGTCGGGTTTCTATATTAGGAATCACTATTATGATTTGGGGAAGTATCCCCCATAGCAGTACCTCTAGGACCCTTTGCAAAAGCAAATCTTTCAAGATCACTCGACACGTGCTGTGTCCAGTGAAGATGAAGCAATGTGAGAAGCCAAAAAACTTGACGACAAGCGAGAGGCATGTCAACTCTTTTTAACCCTTGAAACGATGACGCCATCTCGAAGGTCGACACCCTTAAACATATACATATTAAATATACATGTGTATGTACGTGTGTCTGTCTGTCTGTTGTGTGCGTTCGTGCGTGTGCGTGTGTGTCCATAAACATAAAACCCCTATGTGTAAACAATAAAGTACTATTGGAAAAAGATGTGTACATACATACATATTTATATATGTATACAAACGTATATAGATATCCATACGTGGATATGAACCTGTGGATGTATGTATGTATGCATGTTTGTATGCATGCATGCATACATGTATGTATGTATGCCTGTATGTATGTGTTTTAGGTTTCGTCTGCGGCTGTAGGAGCTACGGACTTGGGGCGGCCCCAAACAAAGCAGCATGAAATGGCCAACCAGAAGCCCCGAAGATTTGCTCGTATGGTGTTGCAGACGGTTTCGGTTTCGGCTTCAGGGGTTTGGGGTTCAGGGAGTTTAGGGTTTAGAGGTTTACTATAGGGTTCAGGGTTTTTATCACCCAAATTCAAAAACATCCCTAACTAACTCACAAAGCTCCAAGACTCCTCGATGATTGCTTCCTGTTGAGCTTGAAACCCAAGTGCCCATACTGTTGATGGACAAAATCCTGCATGACCCATAATAAGGAATATACTTTAGGGTCCTTAGGGTCATGCAGGATTTTGTCCATCAGCAGTAGCTCTTGCGTGCTTGAGCTGTGAATAGTCTGGGTCTCAGGATCACCATAAACGCGCAAAGCCTGAACTAACCTCTACAGTAGAAGCCAGAAAGTTGGAATATCATTATCGTACCCCCTTTAAGGTAAATTATAGGGGATCCTACCATTAACCCATATTCCAACTTTCTGGAGTTCCCTCTAAGTCAAGACTGCAGGAGGCGCTGCAAGTGTTTGGCTGAATGAGCTCTTTACGACTCCTGGGGCTTGCAGCAGATTTCCTGCTTCAGGGCTCCTTACTATGACTTCCGTAAACGAACCCTAAAAAGACGGTAGAATATTTGGTGGTTAGGGCGAGGCTTCTCCATTTCAAGCGTCCTCTTCTGGGGGGTCTTGCAAGATGATACTACTATTTATGGTCTCTTTTAAGGGGCCCCCTGTTAATTTTTCCTGAAGCTACCCAGTGTGTGACTCGTACCTTGAACCGACTTAGACACTCAAAGTTGTGTTCCGGAGGAAAGGTATGAACCCAACTACTCAAGGGTTTCTGGAAAGGCAACAGCCGGAATGTCGGGATAGCTGGCGTTACCATAAACTCGTAATTACATGTTGAATTACGCCCTTATCGCCTGTAGCCTCGACATCTCCCTGCAGAATTGCACTGCAGCCTTGTACTACACTCTCAGCTTTAACCCTGCCTGCGCGATGGCAGAGCTAAACCCTAAACCCCGAAAGCCCAAAACCCCTAAAGCCCCAAAGCCCTAAGCCCTAAAACCATATAACCCCCCCAAGGCGCCAAACCCTTGACGCCTACCTTAAACTTCCATAGCCTAAGGCCTGGATCTAGCTGCTGAGATTCCGGCCCTGACACTGGAAAGATTTCCTTTCCCGTCATGGTAGCAGTATGCAGCAACTAGCTGAACCCGAAGCCTTAAACCCTGAACCCAAAACCCTCAACCCCAAACCTCAATGCCAGTCTAGACAGGCAAGGAGCTGCACCACTGCGATCCACCAGAAACCAAAGAGTCCAAGGCTCACGCCACAGCCTGGCTACCCCGCGCCCAGCCCCTCATACTAAGGATACCCTGTTCCCTACTACCATTCAGTTTTAATAAGGAGATCCCTGAACCCTATAAACCCTACACCTATGACCCTAAACTAAAAACAAATGAGCAAAAGGGGTACTCCTTTCAGGAATCCTTTCAGGAGTCATAGACACCCCCTCCCACCCTCCAAAAGACAGAGCAAAAAGGGTACTACCTAGAGTCTCCATTGTAGTTCCTTTTTGGGGTTACCTTATAGGATCCTAACTGTATAATTGGTTAAACTCAAAAAGGAAACTACAATGGAGACCATAGGTACCAAGGAGAAGTCTAGCAGCTTAAGGAGTACTGAGGAGACCCCTCAACCGACCCCTAAAAACCCTGAACCCAAAACAAAAAAATGCAAAAAGGGTACTACCAAGGAGACCTAGCAGCCATAGGACACCAAGTTGTGCAGAGGAGCCCCGGCCCTCGCTTGGGCTGCCAAGGCGTCCACTCCTGGGCTACTTGGCTAGACCCAAGAGTATCCTAGGAATAAAAAGGGTGCCCTTTTTGGTTTAAAGGGGCTTATAAGGGAACCCGAAACCTCACAAAAGGGAATAAGGGCCTACTCCAGGTCCTAGTTGGGTAGTTATAAGTGGGGTCACATGGGAGTTTCCGAAAATAGGGGGTCCTAGTCTAGCACCCTAAACAGTAGGATCCTTATTATAAGAACCCCAAAGTCAGGTAACCCTAAGTTTCGGAAACTCCCATATGTCCCGAATATGGGTTATAAGTATTATAGTTACCCTACTTAAAACCCTACTTATAACTACCCATGAAGCCTAACCCATATACCCATATAGAATCCCTATAGATCCCCTTAAAGGACGCCTATGAACCCTACTTATTCTAGGGTACCCAGTAACCTAAGAAAACAAGGCCTCTCTTTTTGGTATTGGGTAACTTTATAAGGAACCTGGGACTACAAAAAGGGAATAAGGGTACTACTGGGCATCCTGGTATAACTGCCCATGAACCTCCAAGTAGGGGTCCACCTGCACTGGTTTTGGAGGTCGCGAGGGGTCGGAGATCACGGGGTCTAGAGTTTAGTTTTTTTTTGGTTTAGGGTTTAGGGTTTATTTTTGTTAAAGTGCAATGGCCCCTTTCCGTCTCGCAGCAGAGCAGGATCCGAGCCCGCCTTCTCGGCATACAGGGTTGAGGGTTTACTGTTTAGGGTTTAGGGTACCTGAAGTCTCCATTGTAGTTCCTTTTTGGGGGCACCAAGAAAAAGAAGCTGCAATGGAGACTATCGGTAAGGTTCTGGTCCAATCACGGTTAACCTGCAGCACAACATCACTGTTTGACATGAGAGGTGGGATGTTCAAGGGTTTCTCGCAAAGGCTCGTTTTAGGGTTGAGGGTCTGCGTTGAATTGCCAACCGTTCGAAACGCGTCGTGAATCTTGCACCTAAATGTATCTGCTCGACTTTCTTCGAAGCCCATTTCCGACTGGTCGAGCGTTCCCCAACTCGAAATAAATGCCAAGTCTTCAAACTGAACCTCAAATCCAGAACCCTGCATGCTCATTGCGGCGGCTTACCTAGCGCAATCCAGGGGGTCGCAATCATCATAGCGTAGTTCCACGGAAGGCTGGTGCCCAGGTGGTTTGCCAGCAGTTCGTCACGGAGGGGGCCGCGAACATAGGCCGTGAAGGCATCTAGGCTTCCTGCGGCTGCACAGACCGGCGCTCATTGAGGCTTCTTAATGTTACGCGGTCCCTCATCGGGAGGTCATGCTTTTCTTGCCAAGTATAAAACAGGGTATTTTAGGGCCCTAGTGAATTAGCTGAAAGCACCGCCTGAGCTTTCAATCTACTGGAACGGGGCTGAAGCCAACACCGAGAAGGGTAAGCGACGACATTGGCAGCCATGTTGTTTTGCTGCCCACCAGCCCTGCAACCGACATCAATAACACTAACCCAAAGGGTCCTATGTACCGATATAAATATAGTAGAACGTAGGGTTTCCATGTTAGGAATAGCTATTATGACTTAGGGAAGTATCCCCCATAACAGTACCTCTAGGACCCTTTGGGTAATTCATCCCACAGTTTCGAGCGTGATACGGTTGATGATATAAATCCTGCATTACCTGATGGACCCTAAACTATGGGAATAACGGTATTCTTATGGGTCATGCAGGATTTATATCATCCACCGTAGAAGTATACATCTGACACCATCAGCCGCAGATGCCCAAAAATCCGAAGCCCAACTCAAAGAGTTGTGAACCCCCCGCGAGAATGGCCTCGAGGAACTACCCCAGAGGGTCCATATACACGGTTTAGGGTTGGGTTACCTTTAGGCGTATAGGACCAGGAGGTTGGTATTCAAGGCAATAAATGCCTGGTCCAAGAGGGTCCACATACACTACCATTATGGAATTAGGTCCCCAAAACCATAATGGGGGATGGTCTTTTAGGGCCTAATTCCATAATAGGAGTGTACATGGACCCTCTGGGTACCCTACACACACACACACCGAACCGTGAAGTCCCACACCTCCAAACGCTACACAACCCCTTAAACCGCAAGGCTACTGAACACAACCACCGTAACTGTCGAGCTGCCAAAAATAGCCTTAAACCATCAACCCGAAGACTTAAAACCCTATCTGCCAAGCTACCGTACCAGTTCTCGATGGCGGCGTAGATGAACTCCTGGTCGCTGGCCTTCCGACATTCCGCGGCCGAGAGCTCAAACGTGGCCAGGTCGTAGAAGACCTGGCTTCAGAGAAGATCGGGCTCCTTTAGGGTTTAGGGTTTAGAGTTTAGGGTTTAGGATTTAGGGTTTAGGGTTGGGGGTTTAGGATGCATATACAATACCATTATGGAATCAGGCCCTCAAAACCATAATGGGGATGGAGTTCTGAGACCTAATTCCATAATGGTAGTGTATGTGGACCCTCTGGGTTCAGGAGTCCTTTACTGTTCGAGGGGTATTGAGGGTCCTTGAAGGGGGGAGAATGTGAGTTTCGTGTAACATTGGGCTTGCTATACCCCCCTTAGAGGCCCTTAGAACCATAATAAAAACAACATGTTTAATATTCTCTTGGGGTTTTATAGGAACAAAATACAAAATAATTCCTAAGGAGACCATAGTTCGGGCTTTCGAATCTGGGTTTAGGGAGGGCGCCTGTTTCGGATTTCTTCACAGGATGTTGTTCGGGCTTTCCACCCCTCCCCACCGGGTAGCTCGCCCGCAATCCTGATCCTCATCCTTGTCTTCCTTTTCGATTATCGTCTGTACACGGCGTAACCACAAGAGCAAGCCAAGCCTCCGGCTCCTATACACCCCATAGAATCCTATAGAACCATAATAAAGATAATATCGTCAATATTCCCCTGGGTTTTATATGAACAAAAATAAGAAAACTTCCAAAGGAGACTATCGGCTCAAGGATTGATGAGGCTTTGATTGAAAGTATTTGTGGCTTTCACTGGCCGTGCTCTTTGGTGCCTGACATGTTCCTTTGCTTGCTTCCCGTCGTTGTCTCGGTCATCGCTTTTCTCATGTAACCTTGATGTCCTGAGCTCGCAATGCTGCACGACACACGACACGACGTGCAAGTAACAAAACACACCTACATTGCTAGGTAGATCTGCGTAATGCCCTGTTTCCAGGTAACCTAAAACTCATCAGACAATCTTACGATTTGAATCCCAGCCCTACACAAGCGCTGAAGCCCAAACGAGCCCGATTGCTCCGCTGAAAGAAACGGAACGGTCCACCTGGCGCTTCTGGGACAGGCTCGTCCGTGCCAGGTGGAAGACAACGAATATGGGGATCGCGGCAAAGACTAAAGTGGGCAGAGCCTCCAATCCTGCAGGTCGGGATCTGCGAGAACCGATGCTCTAGTTGGGGTTATACAAGCAGTCCGAACTGTATTTGCTGCATGTTGAACTTTATACTTACTATGTGCCCTAAACCCTCAGCCTTGCCCCAGGTTTAGGATGAAGGTATGGGCTTGTACCGGTCCTATGTACCTATGTAGTAGAACTGTAGGGTTTCTATACTTATGATTTGGAGAAGTGCCCCTCCCGAACGGTACCTGCTGGAGGATCATGGGACTTAGTAAGTAAGGTTATATGTACCTTAATTGGGGTTATGAGTAGCTATAACTATAGTTACCCATATAACCACCCTGGTTACTAAGTCCCATGATCCTTTAAGTGGGAGCCTTTTAGTTCTGTTCTGGGCCACACGGAGAAGCTAAGAAGTGCAGAGCTCGAGCTGTTCAAAATTGCACCAGGGTCCGGAATGTAGGGTTTAGGGCTTAGAGCTATGCAAATATCCCAGACAACCAGAGGCATAAGCTTTCAGAGTAATGTCAACTGATCAGAAGCCTCGAAGAAATCGAAGTAAGTGTAGTGCAGAGCAACGGCAGTGCAAACTGCTGCCGCATGGAGGTTGAGACTTAAGGCGCCAAGGCCGTGGGTTTACCCATAGGCTCCATAGTAGCTCCTTCTTGGCATTACCTTTTAGGATTCTTAATATGGGTAGTTGTCAAAGTTAAGGTACCTATTGGGGTACCCTAAATAATACGTGCCGTACTATGATAGGGACCCAAGAAGGGACCCTAATTTTGACAACCACCCATAACCCTAAACCCTAAACCCTATGAACCGCCACAACGATAACTACAGAGCTGGCACTCCCAAGATATCCTTCTAGAGGCCTCTTGGTCGTTACTCGTGGCCACATGGTGGTGGCTGGGGGATCCCGGAGACTCCAAAATCCCTTAATTAAGGAATATTCCGTAAATCATATAGGGTTTAGGGTTTAGGGTTTAGCGTTTAAGGTAGAAGCCAGAAAGTTGGAATATGATTATCCTAGCCCTTCTATGGTAAATCATAGGGTATCCTGCCATGAATCTATATTCCAACTTTCTGGAGTTCCCAGGAATTCAGGAACATTCCTCAAATCATCTTAAGGGTCCTGCTACAATTGAAGGATATTGAAGGTGTATTTTTCTTAATGACGGGATGGTTTCAGTTCTGGGTGTTGGATTGCAGCTGCTTCCGGCTACGCCTAATATAGGGGCCTTAACAGCTAGAATGGGGTTTGGGGGCCCCATTACACTATAAAACCGCAAATAGTATTGAATTGGTAATTATTTAGGCGCCTACATTAACTCGCTTTGTTATTAAAGGTCTGGGACCCAAACGATCGGGATAAGGACCTTGAACCCCGAAAGTCTTGCCTGTGCAAACGCTCACCAGGTAGTAGACAACAACAGCCACCGTACCACCAAGCCAGGCTGACGCTGCACCGATCTCCACGAACCTCGACTGCATTAGATTGGTGGCTTTGTTGTTCAGCTGGTTTCCCAAACAACTGCTTACTAACAAGATCACACGCTCGCTCTGCCTTTGCCTGCTGTCTCTTTGCCTGCCGTCGTCGATGGCAAAGTGACCATGACTGCCACTAAGCAGCAACAGTCACGAACGACCCCATACTAGCTACATATTACACTCCGAAACCCTGAACCCTAAATCTTGAAGCGCAAGCCCTCATCTGTATAACCCGAAGGCTCCATGTACCCATATAGTAGGTACTTAGGCCTTAAAGGGGTCCCTGTATGGCTACTTTAAGGCCTAGGTACGGACTATATGGGTACATGGAGCCTTTGGGTAACTTCACAGAAATCCAAGAGCAAAGAACACTCTCCCGCATGCATCGGAGGAGCAAAGGGGCGAACCGGATCCTGCCGATGGGCGTAAGCCCTAAGCCACAAACCCTAAACCCAGAAAACTGGGGGATGCTAGGGTGGTGTTAGTGTTGCTCCCTTTTTTGTTTGTTGCTGTGGAGTTTAAGCGGGAGAGGCCCTTGCTCCGGGTCTATACGTTAAGGATGGGTTTGAGCCTCTTTGGGGGTTCAGGGTCAACCTGTAGCCAACAAGACCTACCTTTTTAAGTAACTATATACAGAAACCATAACAGGGAACCCTAAGAAGGTAGAACTTCTCGGCTGCAGGTAGGGTCCCGGTGTGTAGGATATAGATGCTTACGGTTTAACTAGGCTCATCGGCCATGGGCTTTTGAGGCTTGGGCGTTAAGTTAATCTGCGGACAAAGAGTTGTAGAAGTTCCATAGGGGTCCCACCGTCTTCAGGCTATCTTCCGCCGGGGGTGCATACAAAATTGGGCTCTGACACGGAGTAGTTGGGTTTCCGTCGAGCAATGAATGAGAGTTTGCTCGCCTAGGACCAAGGTTCGAGGTTTAGGGCTTGGGGTTTGGGGGTCTATGGCGTAGACAAACACAGCAACCAAAACGGCCAGTCTCGAATGCTCGGGATCCATGTTAGTTTTGAGCAGAGCACGATCCAGGGTTCAGTATCTATCGAACCGTTGTGGGATATCGGGGTGTGATAAATGACGGATCCTCTCAAATTATGCCCTGCCTTCCACTACACTACACTATTGTTTGTAGGTTCTCCGTCTTCACCCTTGTAAAGAACTTTAGACGGAGCGCTGCACAAACGTCGTTGTTTTTTGAGGTATGTACCACAACAGCTACCCCCTCCTCCAACAAAAACACATGAATGAGTCTTTCCCAAGTCAAAGTTGCGAAGCCCTTTTTGCTTGGAAGTAATGTAGGAACCTGATTTAGAAATCCTGGGCCTGCAACCCCAAAATGGATTCATATGAGGAACCCTAATAAAGGCCCAAGGTTTCTCAATCAGGTTTCTACATAATTTTCCCTTGACCAAGAGCTGTGGCACTTCCTGGTCCAGGAACGGTGCGAATGAGCCCCGGCTCGGGGATCGGAAGCTGGATATCAAGGTTTAGGAGTTTAGGGCTTAGGGTTTACTTTAGGACCCCCTTTTTCTGTGCAGCTTTTCTGAATGCTCCTTGTGGGACTTAGTTTGAGATTACCAGCATCGGAAGATGGTACTTTACCATGTTCAACTGAACCCAGTTCCTCATAGACGCTGCCGTTGTCCCTGTACTGACTTGACCCTGGCCTAAACCCTAAACCCGAAACCCCAAACCCTAACCCCAAACCCTAAAACCCCGATTATGACCCACCAGACCATCAGGACACAACGGCCAAGGTCCTTCCCCCGGGTTACAGGGATATGGCCGCAACAGTTCCCCAAAAGACTGGGTTTAGGGTTTAGGGTGGCCAAAACGGATTCAGAGACATGACCATCTTGCCTCTCTTCACTTCCTGGCATGATGCATCACTACGATCCACAAGCCTTTGGACATACTAGTAAGGTTCAGGACAATGGCCGTCATGTTCTGTTGCTAATCATAATTACCCATAGGCTCCATAGTCTCCATAGTAGTTCCTTTTGGGGGCTCATATTTAGAATACTATAAGGTAGTCCCAAAAAGGAACTACTATGGAGCCTGTGGGTATTGGCGGAATTCAATAACTCCGAGGAGACCACTGTAGCCGACTTTGCCATCAAGGTGGTTTCCGGAAGACGGTACCCAGCGGATCCTGTGTGAATGACACAGAACGATACTTAAAGGATCATGGGACTTAGTAACTGGGGTGATTATCAGGGTAACTATACTTAAAACTACGTATAACCCCAATTAAGGTACTTATAACCTTACTTACTAAGTCCCATGATCCTCCAAGTAGCAAACTGTGCCTGCGCCACACCAGGAGCTGGGTCCGGAGCCGTTTTTCCGCTTTCGCCACGTGGCCACCTTTGACCAGGCCTCCTCCCACCCCAAAGGGTCCTATGTACCGATATAGTAGAATGTTGGGCTTCCATATTAGGAAGTACTATTATGACTTAGGGAAGTATCCCCCCATAGCAGTACATAGGACCCTTTGGGACTTAATCTTGGAATGGATTGGACGCCGGCTGTGTGGGCACTGGAGAGCTTATTGATGATTGCATGGTGTGGCCAGTCACCCAAAGGCTCCATGTACCTATATAGTAGGTACTTAGGCCTTAAAGTAGCCATATAGGGAACCCTTTAAGGCCTAAGTACCTACTATATGGGTACATGGAGCTCTAGGGTCAGGGACCTCGAACCTTTGCGGGAGGCCTGGCGCTGACGCATGCGGAGGTTCCCTGAGATGCCGGAGAGGAAGGAACTCTTGTGGCAGCCGTACCCTGCGTGCCGACCTATCCGTCCATCCGTCTATAACTCTTTAACTGGATATGCTCCATACTAGTTCCTTCTTGGGATTACCTTATAGTATTCTAAATATGAACCCCAAACAGGAACTACTATGGAGCCTATGGGTAACCCTCATAGACCCTTAATTGTGGCTCCATACGAAGGAACCCAGACTCGGGGGGGGGGGGGGGGTACGCTCAAGATCTCCCAAAAACACTCGGAAAAGCAGGAGACTCGAAAATCTCTTGAGTCAAGCACCCCAGAGCTACCCATATAGTAGGTACTTAGGCCTTAAAGGGTCCCTATATGGCTACTTTAAGGCCTAAGTACCTACTATATGGGTACATGGAGCCTTTGGGGCAGTAGACCTTCAACTAAAACGGTTTGGGGGGGTTGATGAGGGCTTAGTGCTACTAGCATCACTCAAGAATGTTCAGGGTACATTGCTTATTACTGAATTGAGGAGTTTCCTGCTAGGTCCCTGAGTAGCCTGTTTATAATAAAGGTACCCTTTTTCCTACTATTCGGTTTGAACAGGGAACCCTGAAGCAAAAAGAGCAAAAAGGGTACTACTCAGGAACCTAGTTAATTCTAAGGAACGCTAAACCCTAAACTCTAAATTCTGGGAGTGAAGCTGAGTCCTGCCGGACGGGTTGGCCATTCGAAAGGCAGCCAGTTCGAACACGCACCACAGCCTATGACGACGACGGCTTTAGGGCTTGGGTTTCGGGCTCAGGGGCTAGGGTTTAGGGGTTTAGGGATGTAGGGGTTTGGGGTTTAGAGTTTATGGTTCAGGGGTTTAGGGCTTGGGTTTCGGGGTTAGTTTCTAGGGCTCGCTGCTTGGTTTTTGTTTAGCGTAGGGCACAAGGGTTCGGGGACCCATGACGATCCACATTACCCACAAACCCGGTGCCAGAAACACATGTGTTCATATACGCGCGGGTGCCCAGATAGGTACCTTCTATTGGTGACTAAGTCCTTAGTACTCCGCATCTTTTTAATCAAAGACTGCTTTTGATCAAAAAATTCAGAGTCATCAAACCGTCAAAACCTCTGCGAAAACCCAGAGCCTTTAGAACAACAACCCCAGAGACTCCAATATCCCTTAATTAAGGAATATTCCTTAAATCATATTGGGGATCCTACTATAATTTGAGGTATCTTCCTTAATTAAGGGATAATTATTGGAGTCTCTGGGACCTCTGTAAGGCGCCTGGTGAGGTAGGGCGCAGAATATAGGATCCTCAGCTCCTGAAAGTGCGGTTCTTGTAAACCACCAGGAAATCTCTGTGGGGATATCTGTCTAGCTATCTCTCTCTCTCTATATATATATATGTATACAAATGCAAGTCTATATACACACACATGAATTATATGTAGAATACGTATATATACACACACATGTATTATATATGTATATATATATATATATATATATATATATATATGTTTGTGGTAGACAGGCCCCCCTCCCAAGAGCCAGGTTTTATGCTGTCCAACACCATCAAGTGAAGCCAGAGAAACCGCCGGAACCACCAACTCGCCCACTTTCGATACAACACTCACGCAAATGAAACAGCACGAAGCTCCACTCATTTGCAAGACCCTGCCACACTGCCACACTGGCACTCGCACTCGACTTGACTGGCACTGGCACGGGCACTGGCACCGGCATTGGCATCGGCACCGCCACGGGCACCGTGCGGCACTGCTACTGCTACTGCTACTACTGCTGCTGCTACTACTACTACTACTACTACTACTACTACTACTACTACTACTACTACTACTACAGTCCTACTACTTCTATTAGCATGCACCTAGAACCTCGCCACACAGCACGCGACGAAAGGGCTTGGTGTCCTCGGACGCGCCCAGGAAGCCACCCAGCCCTCGGCCAGTTAAGACAACTCAGAACAGCCTGATTTAGGTATGTTCCGGCCACCGTCCAGCTGACTGGCTATCTGTGTCGCCAATGGTCAGACTTAAGCTAATACCCCTCCTTGTTGGAAATTGCATTGAAATTAATTGTCAAAATAAAAACTGGTGAGTCTGACAAATCTTTGACAGCCGCGGATCCATATATTCCCTGCCGCATCATCTCCTTGTCAACTTGGTTGATGCTGACCACATCCAGGAAGCAAGATTGCTTGTTGTCCCCGATGTCCTTGGCTGTTGTTGGAAGCCCTCCACCCACTGTTTGTGACTTCTTACTGTCAAACTATATTGGAACCAGCATCCTGTTTCTCTTGGAATAACTCTGAGCTGACTATACACACATGAAGAGCCATTCCAGCATAGATCCCCCCGAGCAATGACAAACCATCAGGCCGACGACGACGATGACGACCACGACCACCAGGAAAACTGAGACCAACGCGACCACTCGAGACCACCGAACGCCAAACCCTAAACCCCTAAACCTTAAACCCCTAAACCCTAAACCTCTATATAAACCCTAAACCCTAAACCCTAAACGCCACGAGCAGACCCCCAAAGCAACCCAAAGACCACCAGAAACCCACCAGGACGCCACGGCTGGTGGGATTCCCCTAAGGGTCCATGTACCCAAATAGTATATACTTTGGCCCCAATGTACCTATATAGGGACTACTTTACGGCCAAAGTATACTATTTAGGTACATGGACCCTTAGGGTTCAGGACCAAGGACAACAAGGCTTCCCCCTAAATATACTGGCGGGGCTGATCCTTCGTGAAGTATAGGACGTGTTTTGCATAGTATCTACTGCACCGCAGCCACAGCACGCCTCGCTGAAACAGTACTTGGAGGTTCATGGGTAGTTATAAGGAGGGTTTCATAGGGGTCCTGTAAAGGGATCTAGAGGGATTCGATAGGGGTATATGGTTTAGGGTTCATGGGTAGTTATAAGTAGTGAGGGTTATAAGTAGGATAACTATACTTATAGCCCATATTAGGGGACTTATAACCCTACTTGTAACTACCCCCGAACCTCCAAGTAACCAACTCCACTCTTCACGTAAGAGCCCCATGGTGCGCACAAGCCTTTCCAGAACGGCCGAGTGTCCGGAAAGTAGGGAGCAAGGAAGAACGCCAGGAGAGACACTGGCATGGCTACCAAGAGGCCAAGACCGCCTGAAGCTGATCCATAAATCTGAGGCTGCATGTACCCATATAGTAGGTACTTTGAGGCCTAAGTATATACTGTATGGGCACATGGAGCCTTAGGGTAAGGACGCGCATGTTGTTGTAGGCTTTAGG